AGGGTCTAGGCCCGAAACGTCAGCCTCTCTGGTCCTATGATGCTGCTTGGCCTGCTGTGTTCATCCAGCCCTGCACCTTGTTGTCTCTGGCAACACCAGTGCTGTGAGATTTTCAGTTTGATGAGTCATCTGCACAGTCGGATCATCTTTCGAGAGGCTTCTAACTGGGGCATTGGTTGACTTCAGGCAGAACCTAATGCCAATACTGACCATTTTAATATGTAGGGGCAATGCTATATAAATAATTCAAGACAATAATTGGAAAATGCATATTTCTTCACATCAGTTTGCTATTGTGCTGGATGTTTGCCAGTGCCTGTCACTAAATTAAATAATTCTTCAGGTTTTCAGGATGATATGGCAATACATATTAAATCCAAGGAAATGAATTATGATGTTGATTTTCTTGCTGAACAGAGAATCAAACACTAAATCCAACTGGTCTGAATCTTCCATCTTCTAAACATTGTGGAAAAATCTGGATTTGTCCTTCCTCATAGCGGATATGTGCAAAATGATCAAACTCTCATCAGAAAACACTGTGATCCTGCGAACATTCAGTACTTGACCTGAGAAGTGATTGAAACACCATTTATAAAATTTTACATGGTGGATGCAGACAGTTATGAAAGTAAAACACAGACATTGTGAATTTAGGAACAAATGCATCTGTCCACAGGCACTGCCTGACCTGTGTGTTTACTGCATTTTCTGTTCATATTATAATGAAATCAGGCCAATAAGGTAACTGTCATTCATGACACTGTTAGAAGCCTCCAATCAAAGCAGGTTCTATTGAGTAAACAGTAGCAACAGTTTCCCTTCGATTCAAAGGTGTTTCAAAAACTTATTGAGACAGGGCAGTCGTTCTATTGCACAGGAAGGACATTCCTCAAATTGTATCAATTTTCTAGCACAACTCAAGTGGTTATGGGTAGAAAAAATGGTGGAAAGTAATGATATTTTGGTGTCCATTCAACTAGGTTTTGGAAATGCCCACCAAAAAGAAGATGACAGAAAAAAATAAGCTGTCTAATAATTGTGACAATTGTATAAAAAGAGAAAACGTTTACATTTATACTTTGCTTGTCACAGTCATGAGACGACACAAAGCATTTTACAGCTAATAAAATGCTTTTGAAATTCAGTCACAGTTGCAATTTAGGAAATGCAGCGGTTAATTTGTGCACAGCAAGCCTCCACAGACAATAATGTGCTAATGATCAGCTCATCTGTTTTTGTGACGTGGTTTGACAGATAAATATGGCCCAGGACATGGGGATAACTCCCCCTGCTCTTCTTAAAAATAGGGCCATGGGATCAATGTCCACCTAAATAGGCAGATGGGGCCTTGACTTAACATCTCCTGTAAACGACAGTACTTCAAACTGTGCTGCACTCTGTCACTGCTGCTGTGGAGTGCCAGCTTTGATTTTTTTGCACATAGCCTGGAGTGAGACTTGAACCCAAAGCCTTCTGACTCAAAAATGAGAACACAACCCACTGAGCCACTGCTGTTACCTCATATGTTGCATTTGACTGGCAATGCTTCCATTCTACCATTGGAATTCAAGTAACGTTAGTGTTATTGGCATCCAGCATAGCTTAAGGTCAGCATCAGCCTTTCAAAAATTAAGCATCTCATTCCACAGAATAGTCAGTCCTCACCACTGGCACTTCTTGCAGGTTTTTGGAAAATGCAGATTCTTTACCCCAGTTTGGATTAAATGACCCCTTTACGAATCAGATAAAATCAGACACATTAAAGAATGAAAATTTTACTTTCATGTTTCTTAAATCATCTGAGGATGAAAAGGAGAGTCTCGCCTAAACAGTAGAATGTATTATATGTTTATCTCTACATATACTGTAGCGCTGTTAGCTACTATTTAATTTGTTTAACATTTTTCTTTTATCTTTTGTGAAAATATTTTCTCAATAATGGACTTGTGAAAAAAGAGGTGAAATTAATGCCACACATTATACAAAAGGAGAATTTTTTATCGTGATTGTTAATTACTTGATGTCTACGGAGCTCAAACTTCTATAAAATTAGAAGTGCACATTTTGCTGATAAATCTGGTAGCATCCTGAGAATGAAAACTCTTGTTTGAAGTAATGTTTCTGTTCTTTTTGTCAGGAGTATACGATGACAGTTTTCCTCCGTCAGATCTGGAAAGATGAGCGGCTGTCGTATAACCACACCAACAAGACCCTGGGATTGGACAGCCGTTTCGTGGATAAACTGTGGTTACCAGACACATACATTGTGAATGCAAAGTCAGCCTGGTTTCACGATGTTACAGTGGAAAACAAACTTATCAGGCTCCAACCAAATGGAGTCATATTGTACAGCATCAGGTTAGATTCACTGTTTCTTTCAGCAGTATACCTTTAGAATATCTGACCATTATATTAATAACTTCTGAATCTCTGCTGCTAGCAGTTTGTGTCTGATTCCCTGATCATTAATGTTTTTAGCCTATGTCTGAACTTATGATATGAGTTGCCAATAGACAGGATCCCAACTGGCAGGCCTGACCACTTCTTTGTATGGAACTTATAGCCAATGTTCTATTTTTGGACTGCAAACTACAGAAATTTTAAACAATTAGGACATCTCCTTTGGCATTGTCATTACAAGTTGGATAAGTTAACATTTTGTAAAAACAGGAACCTTTTACAGTGTTGTAGACAAAGTATTCTGCTACTAATGTGCAGTTGTATTTGAGATGTCCTGTCCATCTCATCTAAATGTTGTCCAGGCAAAGCATTTCCGGTACAATTGTGAATTAATGACCGCTGGTGTGGAAAGGGAGCAGATACACAATTGCTTGCAGATTTCTAGTGTTGGGTCAGAAAGAAGCAGCAGGACTTTCTGTTTTGACACTTTGCAATATAGCATCTGAAGCGTGAATTCTGAAGTGTGGTGGAGTCACATTTATAAACAGATGTCTCACGGAATTATTCACAATGAATCATGGGTTAGAATCAACTGCCTAATCCTTGAATGTTTTGCTTTTGCCAGAATTACTTCCACAATTTCTTGTGATATGGATCTCACCAAGTACCCAATGGATGAACAGGAATGCATGCTGGATCTGGAAAGTTGTGAGTTTATTTTATCACTGAGGACTATTCCTCACTTCTTAGTTAATCTCAGGAACTGTGCAGTATTGAGGGACTGTTTGAGGGTTAGGGAGAGGTGCACTGGAAGGTGTTCCAGAGGATTAATAAGGAATTTGTTGGAAGCTTTATGTAGAGTTGATTTGGAAGTTATGGTTAGATTTAGGCTACAGTTGGACCCGCCAAGGAAAATATAGGGGACCATAGGGTTGTACATTTCCAAGGTGGGACAGTTAGAAGGCTCACCTTAGTTCTCTGGAACTTTGTCTCAGTAATTTTGGAAGATTTTAAGTCTTTGTGCGCTCAGCCCTCATGTCTCAGTACCCCAACTCATCCCATTGCTCCTCATATCCTCCATGTCAACTCATGCCCAACTCCGTCCAAGGCCTCTAGTATGTGCCATGCCAACACCATAGCTACTCACCCATTATCCACCATGGGCAAATCTCAGGAACCATGTAGAGATGGATGAACTAAAATAAACTTCTAAAATCTAACACATCTCTCAATGTGCAGATATGATTGTGAAAAACTCCAGTTCATCTAAGTCAGAATTAGAATTATGTTTATTGTCATGTGCCCACGTGAGTACAGTGAAAGGTTTACAAGTCGCCACTTACAGCACCATCTTAGGTACAAAGGTTCCTAGATATAGAATTGTAAGTAAAAAGCAGAAAAAATAAAGAAGCAAGGTTAAAAAGTTAATCATTACTTTCCTTCTGACTAAAATGTGAAAAAACAAAGAAACACTGTCGACAGTCAATATCACAGTCCAGAAGTGCCTGGCCATGCTGGGCTCACACTCCCCACAAGGGCACAACCTCCGCACCGATGCCCCCCGGCAGCCTGTTCCTGCTCCTGCCGCCACCACCTCGGGTTTTTAAAACTGTTCAAGTGGTTCATTTGTTATAAAAGCAAACTTCTGTTCCTACCCTTCATCTTTCAATAATTTCTTTAATTGGCAATAAGCTGTGAATTTAGAACACCTGCAGAGATCACCCTATATTGTGAAATTTGCCTAGACATTCACAATGAGCAGCCCTTAGGGAAGAATTAACAAATAACCCTATTGATAATGCTTTTAATCAAACTGTTCAGCGATGGTATGACACACTTCAGGAGCAGGTGGAACTTGAACCCGAGCCTCCTGGCTCAGAGGTAGGGACACTACCATGGTACCACAACAGCCTATATAATAAATGTATTGAAACTGTGGGAACAGATTTCTATCACATGCTCAGTCAATCAAAGCAGTACAGCAATATTCCAATTTTTTACAGCAACCACTGATCACTGTAACCCCGTTATGTTTTATACCAGTTTTAAAAATTTTATATCATGAAAGATAAGCAGTCCTTATCTGCCCTTCAGAGGCATTAACTATATATTATACAATTACTATATAAATTTATGATTCGGACCCTTGCAGCAGCCAAACTGAGGTCTGTTTGAACTCAATAATAAGTTTGAATGGACCTGCAGAGTTTAGGTTTCCCTCCCTGCCTGTCCTCTTCCGCCCATTGATAAAAGTTGGATGTGTCAAAAATGGGGCTAGAACCTCCACATCCAGGACTCAACCATTTTTAAAGGTCCATAAAGTCTTACCAATTCCCCAAAAGTCCAGCCCTTAGGGTACAGTGGTCAGAGGATCAAATGAAGGGTGTCCTTGTGGGGAGCAGGGGAACTAAAGGTTGCTGAGATGTTTATGAGGGTATTGTTACTAAGTTTGTAGATGACACAAAGATAGAACATAGACCATAGAACGTTACAGCACAGTACAGGCCCTTCGGCCCTCGATGTTGCGCCGACCTGTGAAACCAATCTGAAGCCCATCTAACCTAAACTATTCCATTATCATCCATATGTTTATCCAATGACCCTTTAAATGCCCTTAAAGTTGGCGAGTCTACTACTTTTGCAGGCAGGGCATTCCACGCCCTTACTGCTCTCTGAGTAAAGAACCTACCTCTGACATCTGTCCTATATCTATCACCCTTCAATTTAAAGCTATGTCCCCTCGTGCTAGCCATCACCATCCAAGGAAAAAGGCTCCCTCTGTCCACCCTATCTATTCCTCTGATCATCTTGTATGTCTCTATTAAGTCACCTCTTAACCTTCTTCTCTCTAACGAAAACAGCCTCAAGACCCTCAGCCTTTCCTCATAAGACCTTCCCTCCATACCAGGCAACATCCTGGTAAATCTCCTCTGCGCCCTTTCCAATGCTTCCACATCCTTCCTATAATGCGGTGACCAGAACTGTACGCAATACTCCAAGTGCAGCCACACCAGAGTTTTGTACAGCTGCAACATGACCTCATGGCTCCGAAACTCAATCCCTCTACCAATAAAACCTAACACACCGTACGCCTTCTTAACAACCCTATCAACCTGGGTGGCAACTTTCAGTGATCTATGCACATGGACACCGAGATCTCTCTGCTCATCCACACTACCAAGAATCTTACCATTAGCCCAGTACTCTGTATTCCTGTTACTCCTTCCAAAACGAATCACCTCACACTTTTCCACATTAAACTCCATTTGCCACCTCTCAGCCCAGCTCTGCAGCTTATCTATGTCCCTCTGTAACCTGCAACATCCTTCCGCATTATCCACAACTCCACCGACTTTGGTGTCATCAGCAAATTTACTAACCCATCCTTCTACGCCCTCATCCAGGTCATTTATAAAAATGACAAACAGCAGTGGCCCCAAAACAGATCCTTGAGGTACACCACTAGTAACTGAACTCCAGGATGAACATTTCCCATCAACCACCACCCTCTGTCTTCTTACAGCTAGCCAATTTCTGATCCAAACCGCTAAATCACCCTCAATCCCATGCCTCCGTATTTTCTGCAATAGCCTA